CTGTCTGTCTTCCACCCAATCTACTGTCTGTCTGTCTGTCTTCCACCCAATCTACTGTCTGTCTTCCACCCAATCTACTGTCTGTCTTCCACCCAATCTACTGTCTGTCTTCCACCCAATCTACTGTCTGTCTTCCCACCCAATCTACTGTCTGTCTTCCACCCAATCTACTGTCTGTCTTCCACCCAATCTACTGTCTGTCTTCCACCCAATCTACTGTCTGTCTTCCACCCAATCTACTGTCTGTCTTCCACCCAATCTACTGTCTGTCTTCCACCCAATCTACTGTCTGTCTTCCACCCAATCTACTGTCTGTCTTCCACCCAATCTACTGTCTGTCTTCCACCCAATCTACTGTCTGTCTTCCACCCAATCTACTGTCTGTCTTCCCACCCAATCTACTGTCTGTCTTCCACCCAATCTACTGTCTGTCTTCCACCCAATCTACTGTCTGTCTTCCACCCAATCTACTGTCTGTCTTCCACCCAATCTACTGTCTGTCTTCCACCCAATCTACTGTCTGTCTTCCACCCAATCTACTGTCTGTCTTCCACCCAATCTACTGTCTGTCTTCCACCCAATCTACTGTCTGTCTTCCACCCAATCTACTGTCTGTCTTCCACCCAATCTACTGTCTGTCTTCCACCCAATCTACTGTCTGTCTTCCACCCAATCTACTGTCTGTCTTCCACCCAATCTACTGTCTGTCTTCCACCCAATCTACTGTCTGTCTTCCACCCAATCTACTGTCTGTCTTCCACCCAATCTACTGTCTGTCTTCCACCCAATCTACTGTCTGTCTTCCACCCCCAATCTACTGTCTTCTTCCACCCAATCTACTGTCTGTCTTCCACCCAATCTACTGTCTGTCTTCCACCCAATCTACTGTCTGTCTTCCACCCAATCTACTGTCTGTCTTCCACCCAATCTACTGTCTGTCTTCCACCCAATCTACTGTCTGTCTTCCACCCAATCTACTGTCTGTCTTCCACCCAATCTACTGTCTGTCTTCCACCCAATCTACTGTCTGTCTTCCACCCAATCTACTGTCTGTCTTCCACCCAATCTACTGTCTGTCTTCCACCCAATCTACTGTCTGTCTTCCACCCAATCTACTGTCTGTCTTCCACCCAATCTACTGTCTGTCTTCCACCCAATCTACTGTCTGTCTTCCACCCAATCTACTGTCTGTCTTCCACCCAATCTACTGTCTGTCTTCCACCCAATCTACTGTCTGTCTTCCACCCAATCTACCACTGTCTGTCTTCTTCCACCCAATCTACTGTCTGTCTTCCACCCAATCTACTGTCTGTCTTCCACCCAATCTACTGTCTGTCTTCCACCCAATCTACTGTCTGTCTTCCACCCAATCTACTGTCTGTCTTCCACCCAATCTACTGTCTGTCTTCCACCCAATCTACTGTCTGTCTGTCTTCCACCCAATCTACTGTCTGTCTTCCACCCAATCACTGTCTGTCTTCCACCCAATCTACTGTCTGTCTTCCACCCAATCTACTGTCTGTCTTCCACCCAATCTACTGTCTGTCTTCCACCCAATCTACTGTCTGTCTTCCACCCAATCTACTGTCTGTCTTCCACCCAATCTACTGTCTGTCTTCCACCCAATCTACTGTCTGTCTTCCACCCAATCTACTGTCTGTCTTCCACCCAATCTACTGTCTGTCTTCCACCCAATCTACTGTCTGTCTTCCACCCAATCTACTGTCTGTCTTCCACCCAATCTACTGTCTGTCTTCCACCCAATCTACTGTCTGTCTTCCACCCAATCTACTGTCTGTCTTCCACCCAATCTACTGTCTGTCTTCCACCCAATCTACTGTCTGTCTTCCACCCAATCCAATCTGTCTTCCACCCAATCTACTGTCTGTCTTCCACCCAATCTACTGTCTGTCTTCCACCCAATCTACTGTCTGTCTTCCACTGTCTGTCTCCACCCAATCTACTGTCTGTCTTCCACCCAATCTACTGTCTGTCTTCCACCCAATCTACTGTCTGTCTTCCACCCAATCTACTGTCTGTCTTCCACCCAATCTACTGTCTGTCTTCCACCCAATCTACTGTCTGTCTTCCACCCAATCTACTGTCTGTCTTCCACCCAATCTACTGTCTGTCTTCCACCCAATCTACTGTCTGTCTTCCACCCAATCTACTGTCTGTCTTCCACCCAATCTACTGTCTGTCTTCCACCCAATCTACTGTCTGTCTTCCACCCAATCTACTGTCTGTCTTCCACCCAATCTACTGTCTGTCTTCCACCCAATCTACTGTCTGTCTTCCACCCAATCTACTGTCTGTCTTCCACCCAATCTACTGTCTGTCTTCCACCCAATCTACTGTCTGTCTTCCACCCAATCTACTGTCTGTCTTCCACCCAATCTTCTGTCCACCCAATCTACTGTCTGTCTTCCACCCAATCTACTGTCTGTCTTCCACCCAATCTACTGTCTGTCTTCCACCCAATCTACTGTCTGTCTTCCACCCAATCTACTGTCTGTCTTCCACCCAATCTACTGTCTGTCTTCCACCCAATCTACTGTCTGTCTTCCACCCAATCTACTGTCTGTCTTCCACCCAATCTACTGTCTGTCTTCCACCCAATCTACTGTCTGTCTTCCACCCAATCTACTGTCTGTCTTCCACCCAATCTACTGTCTGTCTTCCACCCAATCTACTGTCTGTCTTCCCACCCAATCTACTGTCTGTCTTCCACCCAATCTACTGTCTGTCTTCCACCCAATCTACTGTCTGTCTTCCACCCAATCTACTGTCTGTCTTCCACCCAATCTACTGTCTGTCTTCCACCCAATCTACTGTCTGTCTTCCACCCAATCTACTGTCTGTCTTCCACCCAATCTACTGTCTGTCTTCCACCCAATCTACTGTCTGTCTTCCACCCAATCTACTGTCTGTCTTCCACCCAATCTACTGTCTGTCTTCCACCCAATCTACTGTCTGTCTTCCACCCCAATCTACTGTCTGTCTTCCACCCAATCTACTGTCTGTCTTCCACCCAATCTACTGTCTGTCTTCCACCCAATCTACTGTCTGTCTTCCACCCAATCTACTGTCTGTCTTCCACCCAATCTACTGTCTGTCTTCCACCCAATCTACTGTCTGTCTTCCACCCAATCTACTGTCTGTCTTCCACCCAATCTACTGTCTGTCTTCCACCCAATCTACTGTCTGTCTTCCACCCAATCTACTGTCTGTCTTCCACCCAATCTACTGTCTGTCTTCCACCCAATCTACTGTCTGTCTTCCACCCAATCTACTGTCTGTCTTCCACCCAATCTACTGTCTGTCTTCCACCCAATCTACTGTCTGTCTTCCACCCAATCTGTCTGTCTTCACCCAATCTACTGTCTGTCTTCCACCCAATCTACTTCCACTCTACTGTCTGTCTTCCACCCAATCTACTGTCTGTCTTCCACCCAATCTACTGTCTGTCTTCCACCCAATCTACTGTCTGTCTTCCACCCAATCTACTGTCTGTCTTCCACCCAATCTACTGTCTGTCTTCCACCCAATCTACTGTCTGTCTTCCACCCAATCTACTGTCTGTCTTCCACCCAATCTACTGTCTGTCTTCCACCAATCTACTGTCTGTCTTCCACCCAATCTACTGTCTGTCTTCCACCCAATCTACTGTCTGTCTTCCACCCAATCTACTGTCTGTCTTCCACCCAATCTACTGTCTGTCTTCCACCCAATCTACTGTCTGTCTTCCACCCAATCTACTGTCTGTCTTCCACATTTCTGAGATGAGGTATTAGTTGCAATATGAGCTCTGGTAAAAAAAAAAAATGTAATATGAGCACTGGGAAAAAATGATTGCTGAGAACATAAGGTTTATAATACCTAGAAATTCACACCCAGATGTCCTCAAGGAGACATGGCACAGTGGAGAAAGGTGTTGGTTAAATCCGGTGACAGGACCCAAAGGCAGTGGAGTTCAATACCCGGTTAATGCAGTGGAGTTCAATACTCGGTTAATGCAGTTGAGAACTTTCAGAGGGAAATTAGCAGGAGATAACTGATAACTGACATCCATCAAACATGGCATGTGGAACCAGTGAGCGAAATAAAGGGTTCAGTTCAAAATTCCAACCACCTGAAGATGGCTGGAGTGTACAACGTTGTGATAAATAGTCCGAATAATGTAAATAATGCCAATCTGCTATGTTTTACAGGGTCCTTCCTGTAAATTAAATGTTGAGCCGAATGAGTGGGCAAGTAAAAATACTTACTTCTCAGATGTTTTGGACTAAATTATTTTGGAGATTAGATTTATTTTTTCGATAACAAGTTTTTTTTGTCTTGTAAGTAATATTATAAGCTGAAATTAACATTGTATATTGCTCAACTAAATATAAGTATACTGGAAAATAACATCTTTATGTTAATAACAATATTATGAACATTTTAACTTGAATAAAGTTCGACATAGAGAATATTCTCTACTAAAATACTCAGTTCAGAAAAACATGAATGTGAAAACATCTGTTTCAAGGAAATGAGGAACATTTAAATTGACTTCGTGTAAATTATATTCAGCTGAGAGGAGTGCCTTTTGTTCAATTAAAATCAATTGAAGTGTCGGTCTGTGTGTATAAGTAATTTTAATAATTATTAATTGCATCAGACAATGGATATACTACTACTTGTCAATTAGCAAGTGATTTAGACTTATATATATATATATATATATATATATATATATATATATATATTGCGTGGTGTGCAGTGCTATAAATGTGAATAACTAATAAGGATTAAATTTTCTACATTCCATGGCATTGCCATGTTTTCTGATGCCAATTTGCACACCCACTGTATCACCAACATTACTTAGATATCACTCTCACTGACGTCCATTTACCTCCCGCTATCTTGCATCGTTGTCCATGCTTTTGCTTCCTTATCTTTCATTCACTTTGCTTTCCCGTCCTTGACTCCTCTCTCTCTTTGATTTCCCATCCTTGCCTTTCTCACTCACTTTACCTTACTATCCTTGTCTTTCTCTCTTTGTTTTCTCATCCTTGCCTTTCACTCTCCCTCTGTGCAATCCCGTACTCGATCATTTTCTAACCCTCTGTGCCTTGCCATCGTTGCCTCTCTCTGTCGCTTCGTGTACTTGGCTCTCTCTCTGCACCTCCCCATACTTGGCTCTCTCTCTGCACCTCCCCATACTTGGCTCTCTCTCTGCACCTCCCCATACTTGGCTCTCTCTCTGCACCTCCCCATACTTGGCTCTCTCTCTCCCCCATGCACTCTCCCCTCCCCCTTGGCTCTCTCTCTGCACCTCCCCATACTTGGCTCTCTCTCTGCCTCCCCATGAAATGGCTCTCTCTCTGCTCTCTCTCTGCCTCCCCATACTTGGCTCTCTCTCTCTCTCTCTCTCTCTCCCCATATATTGGCTCTCTCTGCAAACGCCCATGCTCCTCTCCCTGCCTCCCCATACTCTCTCTCTCTCTGCACCTCCCCATACTTGGCTCTCTCTGCTCTCTCTCTGCACCTCCCCATACTTGGCTCTCTCTCTCTCTCCCCATTTTTGGCTCTCCCCCCATACTTGGCTCTCTCTGCTCTCTCTCTGCACCTCCCCATACTTGGCTCTCTCTCTCTGCACCTCCCCATACTTGGCTCTCTCTGGCTCTCTCTCTCTCTGCCCTCCCCATACTTGGCTCTCTCTCTCTCTCTCTGCACCTCCCCCTCTCTCTGCAATAACCCATCTCTCTCTCTCTCTGCACCTCCCCCTCCCCATACTTGGCTCTCTCTCTCCCCAAATCTCTCTCTCTGCACCTCCCCATGCTTGGCTCTCTCTCTCTGCTCCCCATCTCTCTCTCTGCACCTCCCCATACTTGCTCTCTCTCTCTCTCTCTGCACCTCCCCATACTTGGCTCTCTCTCTCTCTCTCTGCACCTCCCCATACTTGGCTCTCTCTCTCTCTCTGCACCTCCCCATACTTGGCTCTCTCTCTCTCTCTCTGCACCTCCCCATACTTGGCTCTCTCTCTCTCTCTCTGCACCTCCCCATACGTGGCTCTCTCTCTCTCTGCACCTCCCCATACTTGGCTCTCTCTCTGCACCTCCCCATACTTGGCTCTCTCTCTCTCTCTCTGCACCTCCCCATACTTGGCTCTCTCTCTCTCTCTCTCTCTTTGGATAAGACTAACTACATCTGACAGCAAGGTGTCTGATCAGGAGTTTTGAGGAGCATCTTAATTGCTTGTGTTCCCATGTCTACCCTGACCTGTGGTGGAACTACTTGTTAGGATCCCAAGTGTGGGCAAATAGTTGAACCCCCAAAACTGGGGTCAAAACGTTGTTGAGATGAAAAATAGGTTTTGAATACCAGCATTGCATTGTTAAAGGAAAAATTATTACCAGCGATTCATTTTGGAGGAAAAAAAAAAAAATTTCCAGAAATACTTTTTGGAAGGAAAAATTATTACAAACAAAATATTACCAGCAATATGTTTTTGAAAAAATTACCAGCAATCCGTTTGTGGAGAAAAATGTTACCAGCAATAAAAATTATTTCAGCATTAAATAACCCATTGAGTAAAACAAACCAAAAAAAAAGTCTTTTGTTGGCATTAAATAACCCTTTGAGGCTGATATGCCACCAAACCAAACCAAACTTCTCTCTCAAACTTCTCTCTCTCTCTCTCTGTTTCTCTTTTTGCACCTCCCCACTTTGCATTTCTCTCTCTGTCTCTCTATGCCTCACAGTAGTTGCTTCTCTCTCTCTTTGTACCTCTCCATCCTTGCCTCTCTCTCTGCCTCTGTACCTCTCCATCCTTGCCTCTCTCTCTGCCTCTGTACCTCTCCATCCTTGCCTCTCTCTCTGCCTCTGTACCTCTCCATCCTTGCCTCTCTCTCTGCCTCTGTACCTCTCCATCGTTGCCTCACTCTCTGCCTCTGTACCTCACCATTGTTGCTTCTCTGCATAAAAATAAACCTTTTAATAATAGGTTTTCAGAAAATAAATTAAATCCTGTTTTAATAATCAGCTCCTGAAAAAAAAAAATGTCAAAATCCTGTTTGGTTTCTCAAAAAAAAAATCACATTTTAATAATGGTTTTCTAAAAATAAAAAAAATCTAGATCCCATTTTCATAATCAATTTAAAGAATATATATATATATATATATATATATATATATATATATATATATATATATATATAATTTAATTTCAATGGATAGAATCCAGGTAGAACTCAGTCCAGGATAGAGTAAGAATAAGATATAAAAGGCTCAAACACTAATATTCCATGGTTATAATTTATTACATTGGAATTGTAATCACGATCCAATTCATCAGACCTACAAGTATATATAAAATAAAATTGAAATCCCATTTAGTTTCTCAAAAAATATTCCATTTTAATAATTGGTTTCTAAAAATCATCTAAATTCTGTTACTATAATAGATTTCTAAACCTTATACAATTTTAATTATAGATTTTAAAAAACAAAAATATGGCTTCAATCATTGGTTTCTAAAAAATAATATAATGTGACGGTCAACATTAATAAGTTTAACTAAACCACTTCAATTTTTTTTTTTTATTGCCTTCCTATTTTTTTTATCAAATGTTTTAATTCAGTGAAGTGAAATGTGTTCTCTTTCTCAAACAGAAGCTTTTGAAATAATGACATGATCAAGGTAGCAGATATTTTTGATGAGAAAACTGCAGATTTCAAACTATTTTCAAAACTGTCTTCATTTTTGGTTTTATTTTATTTTATTTTATTTATTTATTTATTTATTTTTTTTTTAAGTCTTCAGTATTCGGTTAATTTTGCTGGCAGCCTCTTTGGAATCACATATCTGACATTTGTCATTTTAATAACTGTCATTTAATCACTGACAGAAGATTTGAACCGCATTGCCATTAACTTGTCACCATTCACTTTCGGTTTTCTTTTCAGCTCCACATTTTGAAAAAAAAAAGGGGGGGGAAATTTTTGGAATTTTGTAAATCCCTTTGATTTTCTCAGTTGGACAAGGTCAATACTTAGTATAACCCAAGGCCAAAATCATGGGAGAGAAATAGGAGAATGTATACCAATATTACAAGTCCTTGAAGACCTGGTTTCCTGGAACTGTTTCCAGGCAGGCCATCCCCTTGTCTCCTGTTTCATTTTCCTCAGATTTAATTACATAGTGTCATCTCTAGAAATAAATAAAACGTTTTATTTACTAAAGGTTCCAAAACACATATATAATGATGCTGGCAGCAAAGATATGACAAAGAGAAATGTATTAAACAAAAAAAAAAAAAAAACAAAGTTCTTCATTTCATAAGCTAATCTGGGCAAATACATATATCTCTAGGAATCTATTTTGATTTGTAGTGTAGAGGTCATTTCTCCATCAACACAAATGACATGATGATGCTGAAGAACAGTCTTTTTCTGTCAGGATTTTTTAGATGAGCAGTTATTTACATATAGATATTTTGTAGTTGTTACAACATTTCAGCCCTTGCGTACTTCAGCCTATATCAGATGGGTTTTATTGATTGATTCGTTTTCTATGGCTTATCAACCTTGTGAAGGTTATTTAAAGCCAGAAAACATTTTTAGATTGTAAGAATTTGCCTAATCAGAATTTGATCTGCAAACAAGAAATTATAATGGGCATAATATATATACACACACACACACACACACACACATATATATATATATATATATATATATATATATATATATATATATATATATATAAATAAATTCATGAATCATTCATATACAGGTTTGGGGTTGATGTATCTTATTGATATTGTTTGCGAAGATGTATTCTCGCCATTTAAATGATTAACCTCTATATTTGTTTTTTGTATGAATGATTCATGAATTTATAAATTATAATTGCACCTTTTTAATTGAAATTAAAATAACTGATCCAACGTGCAACTTTCGGACAATAAGTGTGACATTACTGTAATTATTGAACAATATAGTTCATGCCACATTGACGGAAAACTTACCAGTAAAAAAGTATTCTCTTATTAATATATTTGTACAAAAACGCACAACCTTAAAATTTAAAATTCAAACTCAGCTTTGCGACCGCATGTTCCAAAACAATAACACATTTCTCATAGCATTTTTTCGGATTACATCTTTATTTTCGTTGTCCTCTTATTACCGAGAAGTAAAAACAAGAACAAATCTATTTCCATACCTGAGGATGTCTGTAGGAACAGACGAAAGCTTGTAAAAAATTAAAAAGACCTTATGCAACTGGAATTTATAAACGGGGATCATATCATTCATATACAGGTTCGGGGTTGGTGTATCTTATTTATGTGTTTGCGAAGATGTATTCTTGCCATTTAAATCATTAACCTCTCTGTTTTATTGTATGAATGATTCATGAATTTATAAATTATAATTGCACCTATATTGAAATATATATATATATATATATATATATATATATATATATTAATGTAAACAGTGACATATATAGTAATTCACCTATAGCTAGAGGGAGAAAAGATGGATTTATACCTAATCAGAATTTGATGAACAAGAAATTATATGGGTATAAAGTAGGGGATCAATTCTATATCCCTTTGTGGTCATGTTAGTTACTATACATTTATATTCCAGAGAATGTAAATATATCTAAAGAACAGCCCCATGTAGCTAATCAGTATTTTATTGATTGATTCATTTACTGTGGCTTATCAACCTTTTTCAGGTAATTTAAGGCCAGAAAGTATTTTTATATTTCAAGGATTTTTTTAAATAATATTGGTTCATGCATACAAGTTTTACTAATTAACCCATAGTTGGGGGAGAAGTAGATCTATACATTTTCCAAGAGTACTTGCACATAATTGAATATAACAAACCCAACTAGAATTGGAACTCTGCTCTCTGATTAACAATTCCAAGCCATCATCCATTATACCACCAGTGCCTTACCACTCAGCTGTCATCTTTTAACAATTAACATATTATGGGCAAGAATGTTCAGCCTCTATTATCATAATACAAAGAATAATCTCTTTCTGAGTGACCCTCATATTTCTCTTCATATGTTTTCCATAAGCATCATCATCTCTTTGGGCATCCCGCTATTGTTGGAACATAAGAACACAGTTGGCCTCTGTTTGAGAATATCAAATTAACTGACATTTTAAACACATCTTATATATTTGTTGTAGGCAGGGTTGGCCTAAGGAGCTATGGGACCCAATTAGAAACCTTTCTTGTGGGGTCCCAGGTTTACTGCCAAGGTCTTAGAAAACTTCTATGTTGACATAGTTTGCGATTGAATTGGCATCATCTGATAAAAGAAAGCTATTCAAAAAGATGTACATCTGTGTTCAAAACATTTACGTTAAGAATATGAATTGTTTTTGACTTCAACTGTATTGTTTTAGAAATTAGATCATAATTGTTAAAGCAGGATCTTGATAAATAAACTGAGTGACAGTACTACACCAGAAAAATGTTAATATTTATTGCACATGAGTACAAATAAGACACAAGACTAATAAGGGGGAATGGGGAAGGCTGGTCTTCATCTGTCTTATACTAAAACTTAGCTAACCACAATTACTGACCGACACATGCTACAATATCCCTTGCACCAAAACAGCGCATTCTTACTACAGTCTCTATGTAGTCTTAATTAGTTCCCATATATACAATTTGTTTGGTTTGGTTTATTTTGTTTAAATGGCATATCAACCTCAATGGGTTATTTAATGCTGACAATATTTTTAGGATAGGTTCTTAGGAATAGAATATGTAAGAAATCAGTTTGTCGATCATGTTCCATTGAAATATTTTTGTAAAGAGGGTTTTTGTCAAGAGAGTTCCACAAGTGAGAAGTGTGAGAAAAGAAACTGTTAACATAGAACTTGTGTTTAAATCTATCCAAATCAACTGTAAAATGATGAGACCTAGGTGCTAACCGAGTACTGCTCTTAAATTCATAAAGTCTAGGTACCAAAGAGGAAAACAATATTTTGAAAAATACAAAAATGTGGTACAAGGCCAAAAGTGGAGATAAGGGAAAGCTGGTCTTCAATCAGTCTTATCTTAAACTTAGCTAGCTACGATTACTGATCCAAACTTACACCAAAACACATTCATATTTACCATTCTTACTACAACTACCATAATACCTCAGAGACTATGAAGTCCTAATTAGTCCTCATAAGTACAATTTTGTCTGAGGAGGAGAGAATACAAAAACAACATTTTAAAATTTATAAACCCCGATGAATATTTACACTGTAAAGCAGTATATATTTACAAGAAACTAGACAAAATAGTATTATTAATAACCCCCCCCCACCCCCAATCACTAAATGTGGCAGAGACATCAGTTAACCAGACGAAATTAATGTGGAACTTAAATAATGAAAAAAAATATAACACTCACAGAAAAACAAACAACAAATGCAAAAAATCACACCCAAAAAGTAAAAGGTATTCTGTATCTACCAGATAACTGGGGGAGGGGGAATTAAACAAAGAAAATTGGGGAAGCAAAAATAAAAGGGGCCAATGAGCATACATATCTTAGCTAAGTTAAGTTAGATGAAGATAAAACTAAAAACACACAACTAACCTGTTTCAGGCGGGGGTTGCCAGTGTTCAATCCAGCAATCGCAAAATCCTCATCACCAGAAAAATGTTTGCTGAGGAGAAATTTCAATAAACTTAAATAATACCTAAATATTAAATTGACTTTGGTAGAAAGGGAGACAAGCCTGCTACTGCTTAGAACACATCCATTAATGTGGCGGACATGAGACAGAACCTGGGACGAAACACAACTGGTTTTAAAAAAATTGCCTTGTCCCCGCAAAAAAAGAGCCCGTATTTGTTTAGCATGTAAAGCTACTGCAGTTGAAATGAGGGAGAGAAAAAAGCACTTTTTTCTGCCGTAATCCATCCTTGGCCAGATAACGTAAA